ACTGTATTTATATTTCAAAATTCGTTTTCTTTTTAGACTTTCTTTCTGTAGCACTACCCCTTTAGGAGTTACCAAGGTTTTTTGGGTCCACTATAGTCCTTCACAGTCAGGCAGCATGCATTTTTCTTGCACATTTGCGCTCTGGAGATAGTAAATAGTCCTTGAGCTTGTTTTTGTAATTTTATTAGGGGTTATGAACTTGGATAGGCTTGAGGGGGGTATGAGATGCCCAAGGAACTGTGAACATGAGGACAAACTCCTTAGCAACTATGTACAGATGTAGTTATATGTATTTACTTGTGAGCACTAATTTTACCAACAAAAGACTAAATTATCTAAATGGTTAGCTGGTATTTGGTCACATCCTCATATATATGTGCAATTATGAAACATCCAAGTGATAACAAAAAATACTGCGTCCCAAAACTAATAATTAATTAATTCTAATCCATATCTGAATTCATAAAATACCTTTGTCATAATATATTAGAGTAAAAATTCACTTCACCATATATAATATATTTAAATAAAATGTATAATAATATACCAATTTTATAATCTGTAGTGATCCACTGTGCCTTAATTATTTACGTGCAATATTACCGTGAAATAAAAACATAAATTATATATCAATGTGAACAATAAAATATATATAAATAATATATAAAGAAATATATATAAAGTGCCAAAAATTAATATATATATATATATAATTGTCCCAATGTGATTACATTTCTTCATGTGCGTGTAAAGGCAGGCATCCCGATACTTTTGGAAACATAGTTTATCTCAGTATCTCTTTAATAGTGCTCTTGATCAAACTCGCTCATCAATGTCTTTATAGGCCTTGCTTTGTGTACTGGTGTGCAGTCATGTTGGAACAGGAAGGGGCCATCCAAAACTGTTCCCACACAGTTGGGAGCATGAAACTGTCCAAAATGTTGAGAGCACTATTAAAGGGATAACGATTTATACAAAACTTTCTTTATAGGAGCACAATTGATGTTGATGTTGCTGTCCACAATTTTCTCTCCGAGTTTTTGCCTGAGCTGCCTGATCATTGCTTTGATCTAGACAGGGCCCACTGCTCATTACAATCTCTGTAATCTGATGGCCCAGTATGAGATATCATTGTTAAGCCTCAGTATTATAAAACTAAGGAGCTGGTCATGCAGAAGTCTAGGGAAACATCTTTGTTTCCCTTCTCTCCCTCACGGCCCAGAAACACAGGGCCTTGAAACCTTTTTTGCAGGCACTGACACACAAAGCTATCATATATAGATGGGAATTCCCTTTTCATTTATCCTTCACATATGGCAATCACCAACATCCCTTTTCCATTTTCAAGGGAGGGTGAGTTATTGTGTCTTGGTCTGATCTCACAAGATGGTTCATCCCCAGAGCCCCAACCTCTGCTAATTTGGGCCATCTTGAATGCTCTATTCACCCTCTATCCCTGCTATGGCACCAAGTTTCATCTGGGCACGCTGGGAACTCTAGGCTCCCTTGAAGAATCTCGTAAATGGGGGGGGTTTTATCTCTCTCCACTTTTCCACCTTTGCTGCTGGGAACTGCGGGGGTCCTGTGAGGACCATACACTAAATCTGGAAATTTGTTACTATGTTGTTTATAGCACTTAATTCATTACTTTGAAGTTGCTTTTCTGTCTCTTTTTTCCCACTTAGGGGGATGTTCTGGGGGGCTCCCAGGGGCCTGAAGGCCTAGCCCAGACAGGGTTTCCCTGTTGCTCTCCCCAAGGAAACTTTAGTTTTAATAAACGTAATATTACTATGTTTATATGTCTTCTAAGGTTCTTTAATTACAGTATATTGTGGCTTTGGTCTGGTTGGGGTGGACCATACATGACCTCTTGTGGTTTGGGAAAATACATGCGGTCAAAATGCCCAACAAACTCTATCTGTTCCATTCGCTACCTGTACCCATCATAAAATGGATATTGCACTGCTCCAGTTTAAATCTCTTCAATTTATTTGGGCCATTAAAAGCCTTAGGCTGGCTCATACTACCCTGTATACCCCTAGAAATAAATCAGGGCTTTGGGTTCCTTATCTTGGACCTACTATAAGGTGGTATAATTAATTCAACTGTGGGTGGTGTACACCCGACATGAACCTAATTGGGTATATATGGAGAGTCAAGCTGTACCATCTCACTCTATTGAGTTTTAATGTGGCACTCTCTCATGGATAGACCCCCAATAATGGCATCTATATTACCTCACTCTTTTGCTCTTTGGGACCGTATATGGAACTACCACACACTAGTATCTGACTTTACCCCTTTGGATCATTTATTTCACAATCCAAAATTCCCTCCAGGTATTGGACATCAGAGCTTTCAAATGGTGCACTGATAAAGGTCTATACTGCATAGGACACATTTTTACTCATAGAGGCCCTTTCACACTCTCCCATTGTACTACAAACTTAGAAATGCCTCCTGCTGAATGGTTCCGATTTGCCCAGATAACTGATTTTTTCAGGACTCCTCACTCTTCTGCAGATCCTCCCTTCCTAACAGCTTATAAAAAGTGGTGTACCAAAGACCAGGGTTCTAGGGGAGATATCTCCATGGTATATACATCTCTTACTTGCCTCTCTTCAGAAGCATCCTTATATGCTGGCATGGGAAAGCAAACTAGATTGTGAATTAGAGCCAGAAGCTTGGTGTTCCAGGATTCCATGTTCCAAAACTCTTACAAGTGTATATTGATTGTTTCTCTAATAGAGGGTGGGATTTGGTCCCAACTTGCTTGGCCAGAATGTACCTACCAACATCGGCGGAGTGTTTCAGGGTTGCTTCTTGTGTAGCACCATGCTCCACAACTGGTGAGAGTGCCCTAGGATTTGTAGTTTTTGGAACAGAGTCTTTTCCATGCTCTGCAAGTAAACGGAAGTCACAATTTCACAGCAGGGTCATGTTTCATTGCTAAATGACTGTCCACCAGGATTATCATGCCCCATGCGGCGTTTGGTCTATTTTGTCTTGCTGCCGGCCAAGATCACCATTGGGGGGTTGTGGAAGACAACCTCTGGAACATAAAGAGGAGTTTCCGTCCTGTCTGGAACCAATATAAGATGGTCACCTTCAGACCAATGAGGTCTGAGGAAGAAGTGGAAGCTTCTAAACAGATTCCCACCCACTTTTATGGCATCACGTCCTCCCACTGTCATCACTTCCAGTCTGGTGTTCTGAAATACTCAGACCATGGCACCAACAACCATACCACGTTCAAAGTCACTTAAATCTCCGTTCTTCCCCATTCCGATGCTTGCTTTGAACATCAGCAAGTCGTCTTCACCATGTCTACATGCCTAAATGCATTGAGTTGTTGCCATGTGATTGGCTAATTAGCAATTTGTGGTACCAAGCAATTGAACAGGTATACCTAATAAAGTGGCCGGTGAGTGTAAATGAAGGTATACTTACCTGCCTCCCAAATTTAACTATGTGATATCCTCCCCACTTGGGATAACTAAATCTCCTTCTTCTCTACTGTTTTCTTTCTTTTTAGTTTTTCTCCGGTCTCCTTTCAGAGACTTTACCCTTCTTATCCTCTTGATTCCTTGAAGGGATTTTTTTTCTCTTCCTTTTACACATGTATCTTATAGTCAGCATTTTATACAAACAGTGTACTTTCTTATGAGAGAACCATGACAATTGGTAATGGGGACTATTTCTTAAGCCTTGATTTTAGGCTTTTTCCCTGGTAAAAAAAAGAAAAGAAAGTTCCCAGCTCAACTTGCCAGCCAGCTTGCCAACAACCGAATTATCCTGTCTAACAGTATGTGTTAAAAACAGGGCTTTAGTTAGCACACATTTGCAAATAGATACGTAAGCCACAGAGCCACATCACGGCACCCCGATATTCTGTGGTCCTAACTCTACAAGTTTTGAGAGCCCTCATAGTAGAGGCACATGTATTTAATGGATAGACCAAGGGCAGATGAACTTGAGGGAGGCCACCCCTCCTTAAAGGAACAGGAGCGCACTGGACACCCAGTTTTGTTTTTTGACATGCCCGTCCATGTGTTCCTTGCTGTAAAAGCCAGTTATAGACTGGGGCAGTGGCCATTTTTTGTATTTTTCCCTAGTAACCCTCTGTATGTCCCCACCTACTGGCTGTCAATTGGGATGTTTATTGTGCACATATAATGTACAGTACCTTGAGGTTGGGGGTTATTACACTCTTTTTTTCCTGTTATTCTTTTGTACCTGGAACTGTAATAACCATATTATATGGCTAACTGTGTGTTATCATTTCTCCATGCCTGATAAGCCTAACATATATTTTTAAAAGTTAAAAAAAAGGAGCATGGTTGTTTTTTTTTATTTTGCGGCACAAGAAAACATGAACACTGTTTTATTATATGAACTCTAATGTTGTTTTGTAATATCACAATTTATTCACAATGATGACCACAATTGGTACAAAATGTTTCAGTGGAGTGTGTATGTACAACATTTTTTTCAATTCATTTTTTTTAGGATTATAAGGAGGGCACAATGTTATTATAGTGCGTTACTTCTTTTTTTTTTCACCAAAGGATTCAGAGTTCCAGCCTTACAAAGCTAAGTATGATTGGTTTATTTCATCCCAGCTTACTGACTAGACTAGTCAGACACACTACACCATATTCACCTAAAATAAAGTTTAGTATTCTTATACTGTATTTAGATTATTGCCTTTATGTTCCTTGCATTCCCTTATTATATATTGGTTGTAATTTTACTCAGTTGTTTATGGTGTATATTTTTGAACTTTTGTACTTATTTCTCTGAAAAAATAAAATTGCATTTTATTATTCCTTATACCAAGGGTTGATTTAACTGGTGACCAAATAATAAATGCAGTGATATGAATCTGGCTTCAAGCAGTGGAGTCAGTATATGCTGTGCATTGCTTTTTTTGTATATCAAATAGAAAGTGTGCATGTCCTACGATGACATAAGTGTGATTCTATATGCGTATATGTGGGTTATGTGACAGGTGAGCTGTGGGTTTTATTCACTGTGTCGCTCACTGCACAGAAATACATGGCAGAGTCACTGACTTCAACCTGATTTTTGTTCATATTATAAGACTTTTTCTTTGATTCGTGCGTTCCTGTAAATCCTTTATGGTTTTTCTGTGTTAGGTCACTTAGCAGCATGGTAGGAGTTTGACCCGGATACAAGACATACCAAAAAAGAGAAGGACTGCCTGAAATTGTATATGTGCATTCCAGAAATAGAGAGTCTCCTTCATGAATGATCTGAGGTGCAGATGTCTGGTCTACAGACTGCCCTTGGATTCCTCCTGCAGATAAATGACAACATTACTAATAAGTAATACAATATATCGGCTAGCTCTATATTTGTTTAACATAGACATATCCATGGAAATCACAAACCAGAACCTCTCTTATCCATGCTACAGAAATCATTCATTTATATTACTGTATACCTAAAAGAATAGTTCCAGACACAATACATGTGATGATGAAATCCATGCCTTAGGTATCTGTGCCTGTACACTATGCTCTCACGTGTATGTGAAGATAGGACTTGATAGAGATGTATATATCTCATCACCATCACCTGACCTCTTTGTTATTTCCTGCAATCACTTACATTCAGAGTTTGGAGCTTGTTTTGCTGGGTGCGCAGAAAACATAGTATTTCCATTCAGTAAACTGTTTTGTTTGTAATCTAACATCATTTTTTTATTTATGTTAAATTAATACATTTTCCATAGTACCCAGTCTTCTATAATGTGTACAACAGCCCTGGGTTTCCATGGAATATAATTTGTTTCAATTAATAAATTGCCCAACCTTTATACTAAAGGTATAAAACAATTAAAATTCTCACAGGTTTTCAGATTTCCATTTAGTAACCAAAGCTTGATTGGTTTGATAATAGATAGTCTGTAGTGTGTGTGGTCCTCTGCACTCAAGCATTTAGGTCAGTCTTTCTCTACCTTTTACCCAAGGAACCCTTGAAATAATTGTCAAATCTCAGGGACCCCTGCTAATGTTAGTCTGCAGGTAATTGGAAAAAGTTGACTCTTTAAACTTTTCACTGTTCTGCATAGACATTTATGTAGACACGACACGCATTGCGCCATATAGCCCATTACTACGGTAATTGAAAAAATGTATCTTACAGTGGTGGTTAGAATGCCACCCTTGCAGACAGCTTTAAGGATCATTGGCGTCATTCATTCTACCTGGCTCTGTCAAGTGGTGATGGCCCTGGAACTATGCAGGCACCATCAGATGGGATGCCAATTAACCACAGCTCAAGGAACCCCTAACAACGTCTGAGGAGGAACCCTAGGGTTCCATGAAACCCTGGTTGAGAATTACTTTGTTTAGTTAGATAAGGTAAGTAGATAGGTAGGTTCAGTAGACCACTGGATGACAGTTAGGCTCTAGGGATTCTTGGATGCAAAGGCAGCACATCCAACTTCCTTTGCTCAAGCTGCACCCTATCAGAGATTTTCCTGTTGGCGGTGACTGTCACAGGTAAATGCAATATGTGGGCTGACTGGGAATGTTGCAAAGATAAACAAGCATGGCAGTGTCCAAATAACTGTTGAACAAGATGGTTGGGGGGTGCAAAGCTGCCTCTTTAGACCATCATAAAGACCCAGTTGAAGATGAAAGATAGGGTGCAGTACTGTCTATATACAACTTTTAATATTGACATACCTTGTAGACTTTTTTGTTCAACCAACAATTATTTCGAAAATGAAACATCACTATTTTAATGTTGCAGACTTTCTTCCCATGCTGCATTGGGAAGAGGAAAGTTTGGGTGAAGTACTGTCTATGTACAACTTCTAGTATTGGCATGTCTTGCAGAGTTTTTTTAATCAGCCAACCATAATTTTTAAAAGATTTTTAGTGAAGTTTAAACAATTCACAGTATATACTCAGCAAATAATGTAGATCAGAGGTCATTTGACACAACAGCAATGTTTTCCCATTAAGAATGCTATGCCTATGTGCAAGGTATAGAATCTGAGGGTGATAGTTACTGGTTGGTGATGGCTTTTACACTAGTTTATTCAATTAATCAACTGATGCACATTGGTGTTTTAAATAAACCCTTTCTTGATCAGTCATGTTATGGGTCTGTAACTAAATGATCTAGTATATATTTTTAAAGTTATGCAGATTTTTATTTTACAGATCTATATTTTATATATTGGTTTCTTTAACAGATATACTGGTCACTTTTATTTGATTCACAGCGTTATATTTGTTTTGGTGCTGCAATTATTAGTACAAGTTTTTTGACATATGCATGTTTCACTGCTTATTGCCTACTGCCTTCTGATATACAGTATATACCAGTGCAGCTTGGTTATTAAATAAATGGACACAGGGATACTGAGGTCAAGCCCCAGTGTGAACGCCATAATTAATATGAATATTAACCTGAAAGGCAATTGTGCACATTATTTACCCTGGGTTTGATAATATTCAACAATGTATACAGTATAGATTGAGCAAAATGTAATTGAGGTGCTCCATCTAGTGACCAACTTTAGTAATTCAAGTTGTGCCATAAATATTCCCGAGGACTTCATCTAGTGGCCAAATAAATGTTTACTATCTCTTTTATACTGAGGAATAAATTGCCTCTTCCTTATAATCTTATGTAAAGAGCTGTGGGTCCCTCTTTACCTCTTTCTTATCCATTTCCAATACGTAAGCAAAAAATAAAAAAAAATTAACTAAACAAAAATTAATTGTTATTAATAAAACAATTTATATGCCACTCTCTATTTAGATTGTATGGAGACTACGTTTTCATGTCATATATTCATTGAGTTTCTAGACAGGATATCTCTCTTCTGTTATTGCCCCTCCAATGAGGGATTAATCTATCAATCCCTAACACTTTTAGACCAGTGGAATCTTTTTGTGATGGGAAGCTTAGTGTCTGGACACACTGTGCCCTTTGAACCCCATGTGATGTTCCCAATCTATTCACCAATACTGACCTGCAGTATTCATGTGGTCCTACCAATGTACTGTAGGCCACAGGGCACTGCAGCAGGTAAACAATGTTGTGAGTGAAACAAGGTATAAATTCTTTATTATTATATGATAGTTGCGTAGTGTTTGCACTGAATGATTTGGTTCTAACTATGTTGTGTAGTGCTACCCCCCATATGAGTGTCAGGAATGGACGCCAATAGTGGTGGGACTCACCTGCCTTGTGGGTTGCAGTACCAGGGCTGGCCAGCGGGTACTCTCAGCAACCAGAGGCTCATTCCTGCAATCAGCCAAAACACCTGAGGCTGATTGCAGGAGGTGCATATAAGGAATGACCAGGCCTGTGATCTGGGCCTTGGTGTATGTTGCCCATGAGCCCCTGTATCTTGTTCCTGATTCCTGTTACCTGTGTTCCTGTAGTGCGTTCCTTGTTGCCAACCCTGCCTGTTCTGATCCATGCTGACATTCTCCTGCTCTGACCCCCGGCTCGTCCCTGACCATCCTTCTGCCTGATCCTCTGTACCATGCTGCCCGTGAGTTACTGAACCCGGCGTGTGACCTGACTACCCTTGTCTGCTGCTTGTACCGTGCCTGTCCCCACCGTTACTGACCCGGCTAGTCTGACCACGCTCGCTCCTGACTGTCATCCATCCATCCATCCCGCTCGGACCTGGACCTGCCAGCACTCTCTACCACAGCCAGACGCACTCAGGGGTCGCGACCTGGTTCCAGTCTGCACCAAGTCCATCCCCACCATCAGGGGCCCTGGTGAATAGCAGGCTGGGACTTAGACCCCGCGCCCTGAGGAAATCCATGCTGTGGGCTTGGCCTGCCTGACCACTCCACCTCTCCAGCCCTGCACTGTGTACCTATTGGTTTGTTTTGTTTGCACTGTGTACCTATTGGTTTGTTTTGTTTGCACTGTGTACCTATTGTTTGTTTTGTTTTGTGTACCTTTGTTTTGTTTGCACTGTGTACCTATTGGTTTGTTTGTTAGCACTGTGTTACCTATTATCTTAAGGTTAGTTTTGTTTGCACTGTGTTTGTTTATTTGTGCAGCTAATAATAAATATTATTATTATACCATATCTGAAGCCTGCGTTTCCCTGTGTCAGTCCACACACCTCTGGTCATACCTGGAGTCCTGACATGAGCCTCTGGTTAGGAAGGGCCCTCTGCTTTTTGCCTCAATCTGTTTAGGAATTTCAGCCCCTCTGGCACACTAGGTTGAGCATACAAAGAATACAATATCACAGAAAACCACTGATTCTAATACTTTGTACTTGGTAGTAGTACTATATAAAAGAAAACAGGCACTGAACCAGTTAGCAAAGGCAAATTAAATATATTGTCACCTGATATGTTTGGTAATAAAGTAATTATAGAAATGGATTAACAATGATAATAACGCAATTTAGCATACAGGGCGACTAGTAATAATTACTAGGCATAAAATGACACTTGACATCCAGATCAGAATAAATAGTAACAAGGTCACTTAAAGTGCAACAGTGGTCAGAAATAAAGCTTGATTTACTGGACATAGGAACTATATTGCCAAAGTGCATTATTGTGACTATGCTAGTCTTAGACCGACCAGATGTGCACTGTCCATAGAAATGAAAAAAGGGGAGAAGGAAACAAGGGGACTTGCAGGATGGTTTTATGGGAGGGGCAGGCCTTATATTGCTCTCATGTTGGCTATTATTGGGCCCCTTTAAGAAGCGTTGGTGCATTTACCAACATTTTCAGTAAACCAGCATGCAGTAAAGGTGTAGCAAAGATGAAGTAATGATATAGTATACAGTAGGTACTGTACAGGTGTAGTGTGGGTGCTGTATAGGTGTAGTATAGTGTGGTGAAGATGCAATAAAGGCATAGTGTGACCGACTGGGTATTTCCACCAAACTACAGCTTCCTCCACTCTGGAACCAGAATATAGAAAATTTGAAAATTTGAAAATGTTGGAGTAAATAGGACTGACCATTATTAATAAATAGCACAGCATTTAGACACAAAAACCTTCCCTCTAGGCAGCTATAACCCACATTACAAGTCCCAGGAGAAAAAACTACATTACATAAACAAAAATACAATAAAAAAAACAATCAAACACAAGAAAACAATGGATTCCATCCCAGCACCTAGCAGTCTGGACTTTGGAGGTGATTAAACAAAGTGAGAGCTTATCACCTAAATCTAACTACAGCAAACAATAGTTGATGCCAGGAAACCTGTAACAGAAAATAACCGTACATTTGCTGGAATTCACCTCCTGCACATAGTTCCATTATGCACAGTATGCCAAGGGGCTCTGGAAAAAGTCCCTCCAACCCTAAATACATGGAAAGGGTAGCTGGTATAATTCACAGCCAGCCAGGTATCCAGGGAGGTGGTATAAGGGAAAAGGATCCTTGTAACCCCAAGTCATGGCAGTTTTTCGTGACATGTGGTATATGTAATATCCTGCCTTCAGTACCTCAGTCCTTGTTAGCAGTATGAACAATGTGAGCTCTATCACCAGTCCCATTGGTGTGGCTGGGAATTCGTTCAATCTTTCCACAGAATGCCTCACAATATTCAACAGAGATACTCTGGTCTCTCTGCAGCAATAATGCAGATACGATTGCTGTGGTCTGTGCTGCACTGCCTCAGGTGTCACTGCTCTCATAGCTTCATTCAGCACCCAGAGGGAGAAGTTCTTAGAGCAGTCTGTTAAAAGCCATTCCACAACTCCCCTTCTGCCTCAGTGTTCTGTGGGAACTGTAGTGTAAATGGTCCATGTGTCCCATTCTATGGCTGCTGTCCCAGACTTCAGTTCCTGTGATCCTCACCTTTCTGTTTAGAAGTCCATGGGTTTTCCTGGCTACAGCTATCCCCTTGCTGACTGGAGGGGACAGTGCAACACAACATTTAACATAACAGGAGAAAGTGAAGCTAAACTGATTGTAAAGAGGAAAATGTTTCTTTCCCCATGTTCCTGGAGTCCAGCATCTTGCTACAGTAATGTCCTCCGCATCTACAGACCCATTTTTTACACAGAGAGAATTCCTGCAATCCATCAAACAAACCAATCTTATTTAGTTGCTTGATTAAATTGGTAGCAATTTTATCCCTTAAGAACCTTCCTAAACATAGCAGTTGGGTTATCCAGAAGTAATAGGCCCAATACTTTGTCCTTTTCCAAAACTGTCCAATGTTTTTTAACTAACTTCTTAACCCAGTAAATTGTCTTAAAATTGTCAGTAAACCGTGAATCATGATTGTGAGATCCAAAAAATGTATTTCAGCTTTACTGCATTGATATGACAAATTTATACCCCAATCATTAGTGTTCAGTTTCATTAGTGTTCAGTTCTTTAATAAAGTTATGCATCAATTTTTAAGCCTGCCTCCATAAGCAAAGGATGTCATCTATATACCTTTTCCAGAGGCTTTTTCCTGTCTAGGTCTGCCATAGATGATACCCTCCTCCCATCTAGATATAAATTTGCCATGTTTGGGGCGATATTGGGGCCCATAGCTACACTTATTTTTTGGAGATGATAAAAACCTCCAAACAAAAAATAGTTATGCTTCATGACAAAGTCAAATAATTCTAAAATTAATTGTTTTCAACTGCCTAACATGACAGCGAATAACAGCTCCCCAAGCTGTCAGCTGCAATGTAAACAAAGGGGAGGTGATGTGATAAATGTGGGCATATATGTAGATAATTATGTCAACTATTATCCCTGCTCCTTTGTTTACATGGTTTTGGATTCCCCAACCAGCATATGAATGGGTCAATGTTACTGGTTGCTAAGGATGCAGCGGATGCTGTCACCCACTGCATCCTTAACAATGACTGACAGCAAAAGCTGTCATATACAGTAGTGACAAAAAACTGCTGCTACATATGATCATCAGGTCTTGCCAAACAGGTAAACGTTAAGGCATTTGGACAAATGCTGGAAGAAGAAAATGTTTTTCCAAACATGTGTTAGTACAGAATATTGATAATTACTAAATTATATGTAATATATATGTAATTTCAAAGTCAGGGATGTCCTTTATGGGTGCATGAAACTAAAGGATTTATGATATCAGCCTGCAAAGCTAAGTATTGTTGGTTTATTTAATCTCAGCTTACTGACTAGACTGATAAGACCCACCTATATCATACTCTTTTACCATATTTTGAATGTTGCCATTACATTTCTTTATTATCTGTTTCATATTGTTGTCTGATATCTACATTTACTCATTTATTTATGTTGCATATTAGTTTAATTTTGTGCTTATTTCCATAAAAAATTTAAATTACCTACAGTTTTCTTATTTCATACACCTATTGAACTGGTGACCAAATAATAAATGCAGTAATTTACACTTTGGTTCAAGCAGTGAAGTCAGCACATGCTGTACATTGTTCCATTGCTTTTTCATATATCAGATAGAAAGTTTGCATATCCGACCTACAATGACAAAAGTATGATTCAGTATGTGTGTATATGTGTATACAAACACTGTGGGTTATATGGCAGGTGAGGTGGAGGTTTTATTCACTGTGTCACTCACTGCACAGAAATACACGCCAGAGTCATCAACTTCAACCTGACTTTTAGTCAAGCTATAAGAATATTTCTTTGACTCATGTGTTCCTGTAAATCCTTTATCACTCTTCCGTGTTAAGTCATTAAGCAGCATGGTAGGAGCTTGACCCGGATACAAGACATACCAAAAAAGATAAGGATTCCCTGAAATTTTATATGTGCATTCCAGTAATAGAGAGTCTCCTTCTTGAATGACCTGAGGTGCCGATGTCTGGTCTATAGACTGCCCTTGATTCCTCCTGCAGATAAATGGCAACATTACTAATAAGTCATACAACATAAAAGATATCTCTATATTTGTTTAGCATAGACATATCCATGGAAATCACAAACCAGAGCTTCTCTTATCCATGTTACAGAAATCACGTTTCATTTATTTTACTGCATACCTAAAAGAATAGTTCCAGACACAATACATGTGATGATGAAATCCATGGCTTAGGTATCTATGCCTGTGCACTATGCTCTCATGTGTATGTGGAAAGAGAACTATAGATAGAGTTGTATATATCGCATCATCATCTGACCACTTCCTGTATTCACTTGCAGTCAAAGTTTAGACCTTTTTTTGGTTACAAAAAAACACAATATCTATGCAGTAAAATGTTCTGCTTATAAATCTAACATTGTTTTGTAATTGCTGCTAAATTAATTAATTTGCCATAGTCCACAATCTTTTATAATGTCTAAAACAATTCCTGGGTTTCCATGAAATATAATTTGTTTCAGTTAATAAGGTACCTAACCCTATACTAGAAGTATAAAGAAATTAAATGGTACACAAATATTCAGATTTCCATTTAGTCAATTCATCTTATAATGGATAGTATGGAGTGTGTGGTCCTCTGCACACAAACATTCAGAACTCGTTCACACATGAACTCGTTCATTCAGAACTCGTTCAGACATGTCAGTTTTTCTGCACGCGTTCTGCAAGGGAACAACAAAATCAATTGTTTTCTTTGTGTCCTGTTCACACCACAACACTAGTATCACATGCAGATTTTTTTCAGGCAGTTAGGTTCAGCAGAACATTGGATGAAAGTTAGGCTCCAGGGTTCTTGGATGTAAAGGCAGCACATCCAGCTTCCCTGCTCCGGCCTGTACCCTAGCTGAGCTTTTCTTGTTGTGTAGGGTGACTGGCACAGTTAAATGCAATATGCAGATGACTGTGAATGTTGTGTAGGGTGACTGGCACAGTTAAATGCAATATGCAGAATGACTGTGAATGTTGTGTAGGGTGCCTGGCACAGTTAAATGCAATATGAAATGCAATACTGCAGAGTGCAATGACTGTGAATGTTGTGTAGGGTGCCTGGCACAGTTAAATGCAATATGCAGAATGACTGTGAATGTTGTGTAGGGTGCCTGGCACACAGTTAAATGCTGTATGCAGAATGACAGAATGACTGTGAATGTTGTGTAGGGTGCCTGGCACAGTTAAATGCAATATGCAGAATGACTGTGAATGTTGTGTAGGGTGCCTGGCACAGTTAAATGCAATATGCAGAATGACTGTGAATGTTGTGTAGGGTGACTGGCACAGTTAAATGCAATATGCAGACCGACTGTGAATGTTGTGTAGCTGAACAAGCATTGCAGTGTCTAAGGAGCTGTTCAGCTTACTACAGGCTGCGCACAGTAGTCAGAAATGCTTGTCAGGCTGTCCCTTTAGACCTTTATGAAGATGTAGTAGTAATGGGAAGTTGGAAAAGTTTTAATGTGGTACTGTTTATGTACAAGTTTTTTATATTGACATACCTTGCAGAATGGTTTTGTTCAACTAACAGTTATTTTGGATTATGCTGCCACCTTGTGACCTTTTCATATGATGTAATTTTTTTCTTTTGTGTGAGTTTCTGGAGTCAGAATAGTCAAAATTAGTGAAATCCCAACAACCTTCTGTTTGTGTAGCTGCATATTCAGCAATCAACCTTAGTGCCACCATCTTGTAAGAATACATGGTCACACAAGCTTCCTGCATGTCTTCTGTTTCTTTTCATTGGACTGTCTAAATCGCTGCTCATCTTCTTAGAGAGAAAGTACTAATTTTCAGTAAAAAGTGCAAAATGTCTAATTAAGGCCATATGTATTCTTCTGTTGCTGAACCAAGGCAAGATCATCATGCAAGAACATATTGCAGAACAGGGTGTAAAACCCAAGTGTACCATAAAACCAACTCAGAAGCTCAGAACAAACCACTAGAGATGAGTTATTCAGCAATCTGTCAGCCCTATGGGACAAAACAGCACATTTAATGTCAGTTGTTTCACAATCTAATGATGAAGCAGCAGAAATAAGCGATTCTATAGACGCCTATCTGTTGCCTTTGACCATTATTCGATGGTTGTCCATAAAAAAATGCCTGCACCAGCCTTCTTAACGAACACTAATATAGAGGACTAAACCACACTCTTGGAGTGCTTTACTGATTCACAGGCCCTGAATTTCATGTTTAATGGTCAAAAAATATACCGGTTGGATTTGTTTGGATAGAAAAGTGTATTGTTTTAAGTAAATATGTATGGCTTAGAGCAGCCTTTCTCAACCTTTTCAACACAGAACCTAAAGAAATGGGGTTGTGGTCCCTACGAAACGCGACGTGATAAATTGTGGAACTTCCCCCTGCTAAAGCTATTTTGTACATCTACACTACCAAGTTTACATGAATAAAGAAGTCAAGTGTTAATGAGTAGGGTGGGAAAAACAACGATAAAAACAACGATAAGCTGTGAAACAGAACAAATTCTTTATATGTTTGTATCTGTAAGGAAATGTTTTGTACTACGTTATATATTTTTTAAAATGTTTTTATGGCTTTAATATATGGTTGATATTTTAACAGTTTTGCAGAAATAATATATTAGTGGGCATCTTTAATTTCCCATGGTTTGGAAAGTTTTCTGGCATTGGTCTCTCAAGGTTCAACAACTGTTCAGAGAACTACTACAGGGCCTGGAGATCAACCTTTAGGTTAGGTTCATATCTATGTGTGTTGCAGTGCATTTTTCAGTTTTTCAGAAATGCACTACAGTGCAATTAACACAATTTGCTATGGGTCATGATCACATCTGTCCATTTTTTGCCTGTAGGAAGTTGTGTGTTTGGTGCCGTTGACTTTAATGGAAACGCAGCAGAATCACATAAGAAATGCAGTGCTTGCGGTTTTGATGCATTTCCATTGCATTTTTGCTGGTTACTCCTACATGATAACAGACAGCTCCCAAAAATGCAAAATGCATAAAAAATGTGTGTGAAAAAAATGCTTCAGAAAATGTATCAACCACAACCTGCATGGGTGTGAAACTAGCCTTAAAGCTGCAATTAATGATCTCAACCTTACTTCCAAGGCAGCCCTAGCCACTTTGGTTGTAAATTGGCTAGGGCCAGAATCTGCAGATTGTGTTAAGAAAGTTTGAGAACAGTACATGTGGATTACCCAGATGCAGACCTTGCTGCTGCATGGAAGGCTCAAGCAAACTTATGGTGGCTCTGAGGCTATAGAAAGTGCTCTATTTAAGAGACCTGAAACCGTCCCCCCAAAAAAATAAACAAGGATCATCACAAGCTCCAAGTGACCTCTTGATGGAGCTAGAATTAGCAAAGGCAGACTCTGTCTGCCAGGACTAAGCTATTTGGCCACTGCTCATGGCATAAATCCGGTGGTGTCAAAGCTGCCATGCAACTTGTAAAAAAATGCTCCTGAAAATGCATCAACCACAACCTGCATGTGTGTGAAATGGGCAGCACAGGGCTCAAAAAACAAAAGACATAATTATGTATCCTTTCCTCTATTCCCATATTTTTTCAGCTTCATCAGTGAACAAGCCTGGATGAGGAATAATCCCAGTTTCATTGAACCCACTTTGCCAGCCTCAACATCATCAATACAGAAGCTAAACATAGAGACTTAAGGAAAACAGTGTCTGATAAAAAAGACCACCTGCCACAACCACTACTACTGATCAGAATAGTAGTAGAGGTAAAGATCCCAATTGCCAGTGTCCATTTCACAAAAAACCTCACCCCCTTAAAACGTTGTGGGCTTGGGGAAAAGACTTTGCAAGAGTGCAAGGAGCTTCTCCAGACTGTAAATTTTATATATACAGAACTGTAGATGCTTTGCCTTCTCAGACCATTTCACTAAAGACTGTAAGGTTATTATTAGGTCCACAGAATACAACAGTGACAAACACTTTACAGTTGTCCATCCTACCCCACTTAATGATTCACAGCATCTGGGTACATCCAGCCCTGCCTCAAACCATAGTGAGGATCCACAAAGCCATGTTCCAACTGCAACTGTTTCCTCTTTTTTGTACTGACCTCTGTGGGGAAGGTTCTAATTTCAAGTATTGTGCCAAAGCATGTCTAGTCAAGATATACCCAGAGGTGCAACCAGGGAAAGCTACCAGGATAAACGCTATAAAAGATGTACAAAAGAACAGATCTCTGGTTAAATGAAAATTCTTTGAGATCTTTGGCATAAAAGAACATGCAACAGCATATACTCTCAAGACTTGATTCGCATAGAGATTTTGTAGTAAAAGGGCTAATGTATACATTGTCTTTTTGATCAAGGGAAATATGCACATACCCTTGCCATTGAGTGAATGTGATCAGTTACCTGACAGGGAGAAGATTTCTAATCCAGAAGTTGCATATCACCATCCCCACTTAAGACATTTGGATGGTCAAATTATTGTTATGGAAATGAGTGCTGAAATCTTAGTCTTGCTGGGAAGAGATATTCTCAGAGTACATTAGGTGCATCACCAGTACAATCATCCTGACAGTGCCCCATATGCACGTCCTGAAAGCGCCCCATATGCACAAAGACTTGATCTAGGTTGGGCAATATTGGATGATGTATGTTCAGACAAGATGCACAAACCATCTGAGGTCAACTCCTTCAAAACTTCAAACATTAGAAAAAAGTTAATTTAAGAAGCAAACATACCACTCATTTCATACCATGCCCTCTTAATTATGAAGTGAAGGAAAAGCCTATAGACATCATCCAAGTTCTGGTTGTTGCTCCTATCCTCTCTGAGTACAGTGTTTTATATTACAGCTGATGACATTAAAATAGCTTTGTCAGTAGAGGACAGAGAATTCATCAGAGTTATGGGCAACCAATCTTCAAGAATGACTCCAACAGCTGGGTTGAACCTTTACCTTTTTCGTGCTACAAAGCCAAGCTTCCAAACAATGAGCAGGCCTTGTCCAGATTTCCCACTGCAGCAAGCACTAAATAAC